GGTTAACACCAGGGGATCCACCAACCGGGCTGGTCCTGCCCAGTCAAAACCTCAGCGCCCCGTAGAAGGGGTAAAGTCCCTGTAGTGCACATACGGAACGTGTTAGGGAAGACGGTTTGGGTTAGTCCTGCCTCGGGCAAAGACAAACCCATCCGCGGGATTGCTTTTGCTCAAGGACCTGTGTGTACCTTGTGGGTAATGCGGAAGGATGGGGAAGTCCGATGTGTACCTCATGGGGATTTGATTTTGGATGAGAATAGTCCATAAATAAATAAATTGTATAAAGTTAATTGTTAAATAACCCTGTCACTGTCTTATCACTGTTATAATTGTTATATGTTATATCGGTAGTATCATAGTAAGAATCTTCCAGATTAAAGAAGGATGGACTTTTTGATGAAACCTAGCAGGGCACAGCGATGATGAGACTGGACCTGGTTTTCAACAACTGGCACCCGACAGCTTCATCAAGGTCAACATCTCCTGCAGACTGTGGGTATGGGCCGCACCAGATACATCAGCGATGAGCTCCGGATGCAGCCAGTGACCGCCCATCACCACACATCACCTCTCCTGCCACGGAAGACCATTACGACAGATGGAGCCCAAAGACATGGCTTAAAAGCACTCAACGGACACTTTAGAGTGATGATCCATAGACTAAGGGAAAGATATCTGGAGACAGGAGAAGTGGTGGTGATCAACTGGACAATGGGGGACCTGGGCACGACGTAGATGATATGGAATAAGGGGTGGATAATGTCCTGGGTTCAGCCAGGACAGGGTTAATTTTCACTGGCCAGGACAGGGTTAATTTTCACTGGAATCCAGGAAGGGGCACAGCCGGGTGGGCTGACCCCTCCTGGCCAAACAGAGCCCGGTATTCCATACCATGTGCCGTCACGCTGGGTTCGGTGAGGGGGAGCGGGGCGGCGGGAACTCACTCGTGGCTGGGGAGCGCGCAGCGGCAGCGGTCCGGGAGAGACCGGCTCTGTGGGTTGTGCGGTTTGTGTTGTCCTTTCTCCTTATCTGTATCATTGTTGTTCCTGTTCCCTCTGTTTGCTGTTCTGTTAAACTGCCCTTATCCCAACCCACCAGTTTCTGCCTGTTTCTTTCCATTCTCCTCCGCACCCTGGCGGGGGGAGGGGCGGCCGCGTGGCGCATTTGTTGCCGGCCGCAGCCAAATCATAACATAGGACTTCTGTGTATACTACTGATGATTAGATATTTCGTAAGAAAGGGTTTTACTGAAGTGGGAGAAAAGACATTATTTCTGTGAATTCTGGTTTTTAGGACGGCACTTAAAAGATTCATATATAAGATTATTTTTCAAGAATGTTTATAAAGAAAACAAGAAGGCTGAGTGTTCATTTTGTCTGAAATATTTTCTTCTGAGCAACTTGTCTGCAACAAATAGAATCTTAGTTTGTGTTTTCCAAACACAAAAATTACTGTGATTGCATAATACTCAATTATTAAAATTCAAATGCTTTGCTAAAGAGACATAAACTTTGAAAGATCAAATACTGGCAAAATAAGTGACTATGTCACAATTGCTAGAAAGAGTCTGAATTTAGTAGAGAAGTCTAAATTTAGTAGAAAAAGCTTTGTTTCTGCTTGCGCATGTCTTTCCCTTGGACTGTGAAAACTTGTTTTGTCAGATTTTGATGGGGATCTTTCCAGGAAAAATTAAAACTCAACTCAACATCTCTCCCTCCCCCAAACCTGTCACTGCAAGTTAGGGAGTTTACTTTCTCTACAGTGGGCTTGCTACACTTAAACATTAAATTTTTCCTTTCTTAAAAGTTTCTAATTTTATTAGAGACAGACAAGAGCAGTGGTCTGCGTCTTTATGGAAAGTGTTCGTGGTTGGTATACTTAAAATTTTTAAGATGGAAGGAGGGCAGGCAGCTGAAAGAGTTACAGCTGGGATCTAAACATCTGCATTTCTTGGGTAGTATGGTCTCATACAAGTAGAGCTTACCCATACAGTGTTATTTGTGGCAGTCTTTTACATGAGGATATAGACACCATGCTTTGTTGTTGTGTCTTACTTGTTTGCTTCTATTCATTGCCTAGGGGACTAAAAACATGTCAGACTAACGGATATCACAGCCATTTTTATTTGGCTTCTCTAAATGTGCAATAGTTTTACTTCATCTGGTTATATTTTTTGAGGTGGAGCTTTAGCAGTATGTTTCCTGTTTGTAGAGGCCTGTGGGATTTTCCTGAATGTTTAAATGCTAAGCCAGCATCTCCTGTCATTCCTGGAGCTACATTTGGTGACAGTACTGCATCTTAAGAATGAAAATTATCATAATTTATTTTTAACATGCCTTGTTTTTTCCACTCAGATTCATTTACATGTTTTAATGGAGGTGAGTGTGTCTACAGAGAGCTGTGCAACTGCAGTCGATTTAATGCAACTGGACCAAGATGCCAGACAGGTGTGTAAAGAGAGAAAACTTACTGTGTTTCTGGGATTGTACACAAGTTCCCACAACTACAAGAATGACTACCCTCTGCCTACAAGTTCCTTCATGCCCCATTATTTTCGCCTTTCTTTTCTGTGGTGGTATTTCACAGAATACAATATACATACATACATACATATCAACTACAGATTGAATCCAAAAATCAGTGGTACTTCTCAAGTGACTCTCCTTTTTTTAGTGTATAATACAGGTGCTGAAAGAGATCATATATGCAGAACATGGGGTCAATATAATTTTGAAACTTTCGATGGACTCTATTATTATTTTTCTGGCAAATCCACATACGCGCTTGTGAGACATACTGAATTAGATGAACAGAGTTTCTCCATACAGGTAGGGGACTGCCCTTCACTGTTCCTTTTAGCTGTTGAGCTTGCTAATAATGCATTAATATTTAGAGATTAAAAATAACTTGTGATGATAGTATGGGGTTCTAGAGTGTAATCTAGATGTAATTCTAATGTAATGTGGGGTACCAGTTACTATAGCACAAAATGTAAATAGCTGGAAGGAAACTGATGTGTGTACTTTCGAAACCTGCTGCTGCTGTGAAAAGACTGCTCTAAGAAGAGTGCTAATTGTACTCATGTTTTGGGGGAAGAACGGGACCAAACTACTTGTTCACATGCTGAAGGTGGGATTGGGAGTATTAGTTGTGTAACGTGGATTACAAAGAGTTTGAATAAAATCTTGACTTTGACGCTAGTGATTTTATTTGACAGGTGAATAATGATCCTGAGTGCCATTCTTCTCCTTACTCCTGCAGAAGGTCTGTTAGTTTATTCTTTTCTGGAGATGAACAGATAAAGATGAGCAGTGAAGTCACCTATAAAGGATATGGGTAACAGCTCCTTTGCTTCTGATGCTGTAGTTACACTGGAACTAATCTCATGATACCAATTTGATAATAGGTGTAAACTAGATGACTTGTTTGTTGGTAGCTTAAAAAAAGCCTATCCAGACCACAACTGTAATAATTACTCCTGATTCACAGAGTAGCGTCTGAGGAAGGTGATACCTAAATGAGCGGTACATAGTATTAAGAAGCATAACCATTGACACTAATCCTTTGATTTATGCTCTTATTTGCAACTTCATCTTTTTTAGTGGGATTACTCAATATTTATATCAGGTTTTCAGATGTAGGAGGAAGTCCTTAAATCAGCAAGTAATTTACTTTTAGTAGTGATACCTTCTCATGTAAAGTTGTTTTTGATTCTGTCTCATTTATTAGAGTACAGTTACCTTCTATTATTGGAAACTTACACATTCAGAAGCTAGCTGGATACTTCCTAGTCAGGCACCAGTATGCCTTTACTCTGGCTTGGGATGGTACCTCTGCAGTGTATATCAAAATGGCACCAGAGTACCTGGGCAAAACACATGGACTGTGTGGAAACAATAATGCTATCCTGCAGGATGATCTTGAAACTAGTTATGGTGAGTATTTAAAAATACTGACTCTTGTGTTAATACAGGTTGTTTTTTTCAGGTTAAATAGATGTTATTTTGCTTAGTTTTTAATTGTAATGCTAATTGAATATAAGATCGGCAACTTTTTAATTGCAAAATGTGATATGGAAATGGTTCTGGTAGATTATATTGTTAGTGAAAAGGGCCAATTTCAATATTTCAATATTCCTCTGGGGAGGAAGATCTTTAAAAAGCCTGACAAAAAGCTGTCTTACTCCTTTACCTACAATGGTATTTGTACTTCAGTTTCCTAGCACTTCAAAAGTAAAATCTAATTCTAAATGTGCGTTGCCCTCTTAGCTAGTTTATATAGGAGTCTGTGGAAGCCTGAGATACTGCTCTTGGGGAAAAAAAGCAATAATTTTAATTAGTGAATCAAATTCATGGAGACTGCCACATCTTGTTTGATCTGGCACTTCATTTATGCTAACACTTTCAGAAGTGACCAGTGATCCTTGGATGCCAACTTCAGATACTTTGAAGAGTCTTCGATAAATATTGAGTGAAGACCTCTATAAAATAAAAAGAACTGGGGAAAAAAATCGGGCCCCTTGAAAGGGATCTCAGGTGATAAGAACTTCTGGAAATCATTGCTTTGGACTGTTTAAATCGTTGTTCCTCCTCTTTAAAATGAGGATATTTCTGTAGAGTACTACCTCAAAGCTCAGAGTACATTATGTAGTAGATTTGCTCTCTTAAGTGTGCCCCTCAATTTTTAGAAAGCATCAGCTCTGCACTAATACCAGCTCTTATCCCCGTTGAACAGTTCACTCACTGAATCAAAATGCTTAAAATAATACAAAGATCAATAGCTCATTGTCCTCACCGCCTTCAGAGACTTTCCTCTACCCTCTCACCTTTCTCAGGGTATCTCAGTCACATAAAGCTGTGATTGTAGCACAAGTAGATATGCTGCATACTAGCTGTATCTAATTAGCTTGGAGAGCAGTAGTAATAAAGATATGGCAAGATATTAATTCATGGGTAATCCAAGTAGTAAGTAAAGTCGCCACTTGCCTATGATGGATAATACCTTTCTTAGCTAGTTTAAAGCTAGCATGGACATTTCTACTGAAGTGAAAAAGTCATGTCTTTGCTTGGTTGATGTATACAATCATTCTGTAGCCTTGCAGTGACCCAGGAATGCCTCATCTTTCTTGGATTTTAGACTCTCTGTTTCATTTAAAGTAACAACGTAGACCTGTGTAGATACAGTTTATTACAGCTTTCCTTTCCTTTCTTCCATTCAATTACTGTGGCAGGCACAGTCCTGCTCGCTAAAGCCCTTCCTTGCTAAGTCGCATGAGTATGCTGCTTTCTGCCATTCTGAAGCCTTTCTGCTGTAGTCCATTTTAAAAGTATATTTGTTTCTGAAAAGGACCAGATTGTCTTTGGACTAATAGCTGATTCATTTAGTTGTAGGAATGGTTTGGCTCTCTCTGCTTCATGTGATATTTTGATTATTGAGATGTTTCCCTGGGGAACCTTATAGAAATGTTGTCATTCTTGCAACTAGCTGTGTGACTCCGTGTGTGTGTGTCTTGTTTAGGAAAACTGACAGATGATGTAACAGAATTCGTAGAGAGCTGGCAGGAAAATCCTCTGCAAGGAGCACCCAATTGGGATAAATCTCTTCTCAATGAACCACCCTGCCTGACACAAAGCCATGAATCTCTAGAGGTTTGGATCAACACAACAGGATTATTACAATGTTTGGTGACTCTAATTGGAGCAAGAATTTGGCTTAACGCTTTGAAGGAGAGTGTAAATTTTCTCAGCTCTGCTTTGGAGAGGTGGATTAAAATGGTTGCTGCAGCAGAGCTTCCATTGTCCCCTCCTTTTCCCACCACTTTTCTTCTGTATGAGTTTAAATTGAATTCTTGATCTTTTCAAATATTATATTGTCTGTATAGCAGCCAATAGAATTGTTCGAATCTGAGGTTAAATGAATGAAAAGTTGTAAAGTAGGGGTGCGTTCTAGAGCTGGTTCACATTCCTTCCCTTAGGAAGGATAGAAAAAGGCAGGGAGGCAAAACCAGAAAGAGAGCACAGTTAATTTGCCACTGTTTAAAAAATGAATTGTTATTACTTTTGTCCATCACATTGAAGTAGTTTTTCCTTCTAAGTAATGTTTTCAAGATATAACCATGAAATGAAGTGCTTTCAAACTAAAGCTGATGCCAGGCATGTTTTATTTCTGTTGCCTTTTACTGTGCAATTTAACTAAAATGAAGACTGTTTCAGGTGATCTGGGCTTAGCTGCAACGTGGTCTGTGCCTTTCTAAGGGAAGGGGTATTTTTTTACTACTATTGGTATGACCGTGGATAAAAGATTCAATATTCTGAATGTCGTGGAGAGTACTATGTTGCTAGCCACTGCTGCTAGTTGATAAGAGGAGAGTGATTCCCAGTCACAGACTGAAATGTCAGTTCTGATTTTCTGTAGTATTCTATTCTGCTTAGGTTTATTTTTGAAAACCTTCTCTTCACAACAGCTATCTCATTCATTTCAGAGGGCATATGCTTTGTGTAACATCCTGTTACATCCCCCGTTTGAACAATGTCATGAATATGTGAGTCCTGTTCCTTTTATGGCAAGCTGCACCAACGATCTTTGCATGTAAGTGAAAGTTTTTAGGTCATTCCAAAGCTATTATAAAAAACATTGTCCTTCTATCATGAAAACGAATTGTAAATGTTAACATAACCAATGTGTGTCTTTTTCTACATATCAGTTTTTCTGTAACATTCTTCTATTCTCTTGCACTTCTCGCTTGTTCTAGATTTACTGCCAGAAATCTCTGTAGAGTAGATCGTGTTTTCTTTGGTATAAGGATGACCAAAATCAGGCCTAGATATTTTCATAATTTATTAGTGCACCTTCCCTTGAGTACGGCATATGTTTTGATTCTGAATGTGCAACTTCATTAGTATTTCTAACCTTAAAGTAAAGTAATAGTGAGTCTGTTTGGCATCCTCAAGGCGCATGTTAATCCAATGAAGGTGGTCAACCAATGAGTATTAATCCAATGAGAAGTGACTCACTGATGGAAATCTTACACTTTTTTCTTGTGAGTTTTCTGAAGGATGTTTTTCCTTTTGTAAAAATTGAGACCTCTATTCAAGTCTATTTATATTGCTATATCTCTGGCTTTCATGGACTTATTCAGGCAATTAGCGTCAGGTCTCGAATGTATTGATGACCTGTCTTCAAGTGTGGCAGAATGTCTTATCCATTTAAGACTTTTAACCTACCCAAACAACACAGTACCTCAGAAAATTATTAGATTCAAACAATGTGGTTGTATGCCATGCAGCAGCATTCATGAGGTTAAAATTGCATGTTTGAATGTAGGTGGAAAATAATATTTCAGTTTTTGTTTGTGTAAGGTCAGCGGTTGGTAATGCAACTTGGTGTCGAGCATTAACAGAATATGCCAGAGCATGCGCCCAAGCAGGAAAGCCACTTCATGGATGGCGAATGCACTTTCAGCAGTGTGGTATGCAGATCTTTTCGTACTTGGAAATACTGCTTAGTAGTTGTATTTTGAAAAGAGTGCTCTTTATACTTTTACTTCTTTGTCCTTCCTCCTATTTTGAATTCATTCAGTTCTCAATGAAAACGTAAATATGGACTCACTTCAAAGCTAGTTAAATGCAGTGGAATTTCTTTTTTATATGTGCAATTTTTACGGAATGTATTGAAAGCACTAAGCTTATTGAAATTTGTTTTAAGAACCTGCTTACTGAAATATCAGAGATTCTTTTAAGATGATTAACTATTTTTTTTTCCATAGAGCTACTCTTTCAAATATTGTCAAAGTCTTCATGGCTTTCCGATGTATAAAATGTGGGTCATGAGCGTTAAAATGAAATTTGAATTACACTTGCATAAGTCATGATCTTAGGAGTTACAGAAAGGAAGTTTGAAACAAATCATCTAATTTCTTCACCTGTCTGGAACACAGGACCAAAACTGCTTTGTCGTTCATGACAGAAGATTTTCCTTGCGTTTCAAAAAATGTTTATTAATGCATGTTCTACCACTTCTTATGCTGGTTTCCTGTGAGAAAATTTCCCGGAGTCTCCCTTGGTGCAATTTAAGATCATTCCTTGTCAATGCACCTTTAATGGACAGAATATGAATATATGCGTATTGTCTGTGTGTGTGTGTTATGAAAGACATTGTTTCATTGTTCTAGACAACGGATACTCAATTGACTTACCAAAAAGTAAATACCTGAAATTTTACCAAAAAGTAAAGCCCTGAGGCAGTAGCACAATACGTTTTTATTTCTCTGTCTGTTTCTGTTTTTCAGTGATTACCTGTGCTGAACCCTTGACCTACAATGAATGCATCAACTGTTGCCCTGTTTCATGTCATCAGCAATCACAGTGCATTGACAGTGAGCTTCCCTGCATTGATGGATGCTACTGTCCAGATGGTAAGTTTTGATTCTCAAATAGATAGTATTTGATTCCATATAACTTTCAGATTGGTCTCCACCAAGTTTATAATACGTATATGGCCTGGCTAGATTAAGACATTCACAGGAGCTCTTCATAAACACCATGCCAACAAAGTGTAGATGAATGACCTTATTTTCCTCATAACTGACAAGAGCCTTTTCCTCTCTCTAAGAAGTGGGAATAGGTTTCAGCACAGATCCATGTTCTAGCTGTAGAGCTCCACAACTTGAGTGAAAAATGTGGTTTACTCTGTTGTTGACAGGGCAGCCATCCTCCTGATTCTGGTAGTTGCTGATTTTTTGGTGTTTTTTTTTGTTTGTTTGTTTGTTTTTGGGGGGGGGGGGGATGCGGGTGGGATATTTTGGTGGGTTGTTTTGGTGGTTGTTTTTTTTTCTGAAGAATATCTGCAAGTTCAGGTGCTTACCAAAAGAAAACAAAAAAATCAAACAAAGCAAAAATCCACTATACTAAAATAAGGACCATACAGAGGCACAGATTTGTAAAGGAGTCAAAAGAGAACTCAAAGGTACTCAAAGCAACATGGTTTGGTGTTTCTGTGGTTGTTTTGGGTTTTTTTTGTGTGGGTGGTCTCCTCCCCCTCTCCCCCAATATTAAGTACCTGTTACTTATACTACTGTTAGTGTATCTCAAGCAATTTAGGGATTTGGTCCATGTAATGTAATTTATTTAATATAGTTCAAATGCACACTTGTTCTGCAAAAATGACTACCAAATAGTCTAGAGTTTCATTATCATATATGACTGTGATGTTCTTGGGTATACTTGTTAGTACTCCATCAGCCATTTGTACAGGTGTTTCACTTGTTTCTTGTTGTTTTATTTCTTCTAGGCTTAATTTATGAAAATGAAGTGTGTGTCAAGCCTATGGACTGTCCTTGTGACTACCATGGAAGTTTCTTTGAAGTGGGTTCAGTGGTTTATGAGGAATGTAATAACTGGTTAGTAATTTTTCTTTTTACACTGTGGACTTAATCCTGTTGTGGTCATGAGAGAACTTCTGTAAGGTCTATTTCAGTTAAAAAATAAATAAAGTTGGTAAGTCCTTACTGTTTCTACATACAAAACCTGTTGTTTCATGTATGTTTTGCAATGAAGGTAAAAGAAACTATAGAGCTATTAATGTCTAAGAAGAACAAATGACAGATATTGCAGAGAACACTGTAATATTTAATGCTCTTTTCACCTTGAATTCTGCCTCAAACTAAAAGGAATCTAGTTTTCAAAATCTTAACGGGAGAATTACTTTGACTTTTTGTCTCCTGGTTGTGTTGTCTCCCTTGAACACAAAGAGCTTCATGTCATTGTGACACTAAGCTGCGGTTTTGGGAATTTCTAAGTTAATTTTCTACATTGGAAAGGAAAGTTTGTAGGAAGAGATAATGCCTTTTATTGGATCAACTTAATTGAAGAAAACTGGTGAGCTTGAATAGTGCAACTTCTTTTTTTACAACAGTTCTATTTTTTTTAAGTAATAAGATTCAAATTCCTTGTGTTTATTCTTCTGAATTTTAATCATCCTTAACTTTTATAATGGTTATCAAGGACCTAAAAAGAAAGGTGTTACTGAACACATGGATGAAATTTCACCTGATTATATCCTCATGACAAGCTCTTGCCACAGCTTCCAGGCATTATAGTGAATGTGATAGCTGTGTTGTACACTTCTCTGAGACTAAAGATGCTTGGTGTTCATTTCATTGAGAAGGAATCCAGGAAGAACAACTGAGGGACAGCCATATATACTTCACCAAAAAAAGCATGAAACCTTGTTGGTTTTATTTCAGCACTTGCATTGGAGGAAAGTGGATTTGTACAAATCTTACGTGTCCAGGTATGTGAAAGTCTTGAATAATTTTTTAATAACTGAATTTTTACTTGGGGTAAAATATTACTGTTAGATCTTAACATGATATTTCACTATATAATTTGTAATTTTAATTCTATCTACATATAAATACATCTGTACACAGAGCAGATTAAATATTAAAAGGATTTGAATAGCAGGCAGCTGGCTTTCAGCTTAGTGCAAGAATGTGTCTCCCTATATGTCACTATAGTGTCTCTGGTAGATGGCACTACCTGGTCACCCTTGTCATTTAACTGAAGTTCCATATGCAATCTTTACTTGACAGACTTATGGCGAGACTACTTCCCCCCCAGTATTGCTGGCTAGTGATATAGTATCTAGGTATTGTACAAATATCAGTTAATTATTTTCATAACATGTTTGTGGAATGAGGGGTGTTATTACCACTTCGTAGACAGGCATCTGAACTACAGAGATTAAAGTCAAAAGGATTTTGCGTATTAAAGGTATCCATGGCCTTATGGTTCTTGTATCTGCCAATAGATTCAATCACTGGTCTGGTCTTAGAGTTATCGATTAACTGTGGGAGTGATTAATGCTTCTGCAAATTGGTTTTTAGAGCCACAAATCAAATATCCAGATTGTAAGGATCACACATATTATTGCCTCCTTCTGGGGGAAGAATTATTTAGTTATCCTGGCCCGTCATCAGGTAAGAACTCCGTAACAAAAGCAAGGATGAGGCTCAGTTCCTAACTGTGTTCCTAGTATATGGTTATAATATGAATACAATTTTATAAGTTATAGCATCTGTCAGAGTGTATGAACTCTACAGCAGTAAGAACAGTTGAGAGTATACTGACTTTTCTACGTACTTAGATACATTATTTATGTTTTTCAGCTGAGTGCTCAGTTTCAGGAGACATCCATTTCATGACCTTTGATGGGCGCAAATACACTTTCCGAGCTACCTGCCAATATATTCTAGCAAAAAGCCGTACATCTGAAGCGTTTACTATATCCTTGCAAAATGCTCCTTGTGGACAGGTAAGGCTTAGAATCTTCTCATAATGCTTATATCCTGAAGGGTTTATTGATCGGTGGAAAAAGGATTAAAAATGAAAGATACCTGCAACTCAATATATTAAAATTAATCAGTAGCAATAATTTTCCTTAATGATTGGATAGTTGAACAACAAAAGTGCAGAGAAGTCCGTACATAAATTCTCACGTTGGCTTGCAATAAATAGGAAAGATTATGCTAGCGTTTAGATTCAGCGTTCACTGATGTCATTCAACGGAATATGGTGGTTCATGCAGCATGTTTTTTTGAGCTTTCTGAGTACATCTTTGTGGATCTGCGGCCAGTACAAAATAAGTGTCCTACTTACAACTGTTAGAAGCAAGAATGACTTTTTTGTGCCTTGAATATAGATTTCTCTTTCAGCTTTGTTTTTGCAGCTTGAAATTTACTTACGTTGATATGAAAAACTTTGGGTAGCTTTTGGGACAGCTCTCGGATTTGGCTATATGTATACGTCGGTGTTACTGTTGTTAAGCTGGTATCCTCTACAATTGATTTCAGCCAAACATGCATGTGCATCTATATAGCTGATACTAAGAGTGCTCATACTTTATGTATGAAAGTTTTTGATACTGTACACAGAAGCCAACCAAATATTTAATCTGTTTTACATCCAAGACCCATTCTCCTTCCTTTGTGTAAGCGGATTTCTGAGCATGTATTATAACATTTTACGTGTGAGGTAAGGAACACTGGTTAAGATTTTCACTACAGCATTTAAATGTTAGTAGTGTTCATGGGTCTTGTAATTTTGAGGAAGTTAAGGCAAGTTAGAGTAGATCTTAAACATAGGTGGTGTGAGAAGTGTAGTTGACTGAGTTGAGCTGTCTTCTGGAGTTGGGCTGTTTCTCACTGATTCTCAGTTCTACATATGCATGTAAGGGCAGAATTTGGCCCACATTCATATTAGGGTCATAACGCTACTGTGAATGCCTGCTTACTAAGCTGGTGGACTTACTGTAGGGCCAAGATGTTAAACTTTGTATCTTGGCCAGATTTACTTTCTGTCTCCAATGGTCTTATGGAACAATTATTACCTAGGAGCAACTGTACGGGCATTTGAAGAGTATATAGACTTAAATATGACTTTTTGCTGTGTTTCTAGACAATGTACTATATGTTAGGCCTGAACTGTAGCTCTTAGCATAGTGAGTTTCCATATTATTGCAGTTACATACTTTGCATAAAGTCAGATTTAGCACTATTACTTTCTGCTTCTGTGGAGGTAACTACTTGCTCTTCATTATAGTATTCTTTTGTGTTCTAAATAAGTGTATGATTCTATAAATCTTTTTACACTAATGATTGTATTCATTATTCTCTGCAGCTTTTATTGTTCATGCACTTGAGATCTTGGGAAGAAAAATGATCATATAAGTTGTTATGCCACACTTTCTATAAGCGTATTTCAGTAAAGTCATTTGTCCTTGTGCACTGAAACCTGTAAAACTCTGTATGACAGAGAAGACCTTGAAGCAGAAGGAAGTCATATTAAAGCTGCATTGACAAGTTTGTTATAATAGAAATAGTTTGCAATCCAGGTAAGAGATGGGAGACTGAGTGCATGGAGTCCCCTTCTCATCTCAGTGATAAAAGCTGAGAGATAAAAATAGCTTAAGTGGGTAGATAACAAATATGTTTTCCAACTGGATGATCTACAGATAAATGTCCCACTATGTCTTCTGCGGTTCCTAGGAGAAAAGTGTCAGTGTGTCAGGTGAGGTATGTGACAGGGCATAGAACTTACCAGTGTTGAAAAAGAAGATGCCTGTGTTGTGTATAACACTGCTTTATTATGCTCTAATAGCATCTAGCTATTCCTTGAGATAGAAGAGTTACGGTGGGGGCTGTGAAGTGAGATCTTTGCGAGGGCATGGATGTTAAAAAAACCTTCTAGCCTTCAACCTCTGTGTGCATCATCCTTTGGGTTGGGAAGAATCTGGTGATCCTGCTAGTATTTCCTGTTGATAGGAAGATTGAGACTGTTTCAAGATGCAATATATCTGATCATTGCTACAATTCCCCACTTCAAGTGTGTATTGGATTTAACTTACTCTGATTTTAAGGAGTTCAGTTGGCTTCATTCTGTGCTAATCTTGGGATCCTGAGAAGTTAAGTCAATATCATAATTTTGAAGAAAATAGCATAGCTGTGAAACAAAACAACATAGCCATTCAACATACACATAAATCTGTTCACAGTCAGCATAATGTTCTCAGAACTTCGCAGATTCCAAGAAGCTTGAGAAAGGTTGAATATATATTGAAGCTGTGTCCTGTATTATATGGTTGAAGATAAGCAAAGGGGATCCCCAAAGAAACACTCCAGGCAACTTTTTTATCAAATGAAAAATGAGGCATGATTGACTTGTTGCAGAAGCCCACAGTGAGATATCTTTCAGCCTGACCTGTTGAAAAGCCCATCCAGGGACAACAGAGGTCTGGAGCAAATATCTGCTATGGTAATGTGCAGGGTATGTATTATGGGTCTCATTCCCTTATGTGTTACAGAACAGTTATCTCTGTGCAAAACAGACAGAAATGTGCCTTTTAGTTTATTGTTGTGGTGACACATTTGTTGCGGAAAGCGATAATCAAATTAGTTGGCTTTCTGCAGCACTTGTGAGACTGCAAAGCCTTGCAGTAATTCTTGCATCTTCTTCACCCTGGCTTAGGAACTTTCCTTAATGTTTTTTCTGTGTCCAAGTGGTTTGTAGGTGAAAAACAGATTCTCTTGGCTTTTACTACATGTTGAATTTCATATTTCACCTAACCTTTAACAAAGCTAGCATGATCAGTACCTGATAGGTATAGATTTTTACAGAGGTTTGAGTGAAGCATTCTGGGCATTAACAGCCAAGTGGGTTATCAGAGGCTTATGTGGTCTGTTCCAGGGCTATGTGCTGCTAATTTAATTATCAGTGTACAAGTGGCGGGAGGGTAGGTAGTGAGAACAGTTTGTGTAGTATAATGCAAGAATGTGAGGTTTCAGTGCAGCTATTCAAGTGTCTAGCTATCAGCTAGCTGGTATCACTTGGCAGAAGAGCTGCTTTATGGTTCCCTAGGCGCCATCCATTATCTTTTTCCCATTTATAAAAATTAATGAATTGAAATGGAAAACTAAAAGATTCGTAGTGCAGAATCTCATATTTCATTATGGTTTGAGATTTTATGTGCTTGTTTAAAAAAAAAACCCAGTATCGGTCCCATCTCATTCAAGCAGATTAAAAAATGTAGAAAGAAAATACCTAGGGAGATTTTAGCCCTTGGAATCACAAAGAATCCAGTCATTTAGAGCCTTAGAGCTGGTGACATAAACAGTCATCAAGCAAGAAGTTGCTTCAAAACAATGTGAAATTTTGTTTAAGCACTTTTTGGAAGGAGAATCAGTCAAGTGATCAGCACAGCTTAACCTTATCTGAGTTTCAGGTAACAACCTCACTGTCTTTGTAGTTTGTGTGAGGAGAAGGTCTTCTGAATATAGAAATTTTTTTTAAGTGTCTAGTGAGAGACATGGCCACTCCTGTTGAAACACCTGCTGAAAGTTGACAGGGGCAGTGCTGTGAAAGACACAGTTCTTTGAAACAGAGAATAATTGTCAGGTACAATTTCTCCTTTAGTTTCAGCATGAAGGAATAATAAAGCTTTTGTCAATATTGTGTAGTAATGTATATACTGTGCAAGGTTGTTCTGTTGGCTCTGGTCTGCTATGCATACCAGCTGTGTTATTCTTTTATTTTCAGCTTCTTAAAAGGTTGACAAAATCTTCAGTTTATAGCCAGAGTTGCTGAATGATATGCACAGAAACCTAATTGCTTAGTAAAGAGGCAAGACAACAAGACAAGCTGCAAGAGCGTGGCTTCACAATGCAGATGTGTCTTCACTGTCAGTCCAGGAGAGCTGGTTGAGCTGATGAAGTACAGTTGCTTTTATAATCTGCCATTTTTAAGTGTTGTTTTATCATTTCCACTGTTGGTGAAAGGTCACTGTTGCAGTATTGTTTAGAGACAGGGAAATTCTGAATGTAGTTTTTAATCTTTACTCACCTCTGTGTGTACTTGTGTGTCCATGGTACTTGAAGGACTGACAGATGGTCTGCTCTGTGCTAGTTCAGCATGCATCAAGGCCACATGGTAGCGTTCAGAGATCATTGCAGCTCTAGTAACCATTTTCAATAAGCAGGGTAACATTTGCGCTGTATTAAGCAAGTCCCAGTGAAAGTCAGCGAGAGTTGGATAGAAGTGTAAATCTTTGAACTGGACATCCTAATCTGCTCAGTGAATAGCGCTATTCACAGCAGAGCTTTGCTGTTAGTGCGACTGTCCAAAGGTAAGGATATTTTCACAGAATCACAGGATGTTTGGGGCTGGAAGGGACCTCTCTGTGGGTCATCTAGTCCAACCCCCCTGCCAAAGCAGGGTCACCTACAGCAGGCTGCACAGGACCTTGTCCAGGCGGGTCTTGAATATCTCCAGAGAGGGAGACTCCACAGCCTCCCTGGGCAGCCTGTTCCAGTGCTCCGTCACCTTCAAAGTGAAGAAGTTCTTCCTCATGTTCAGATGGAACTTCCTATGCTTCAGTTTGTGCCCGTTGCCCCTTGTCCTGGATTTTAACTAAATCTTGTTCAGTGCCTCTTTCAGCACTGAAGGTGCTGAACATTTTGCTAATTCATCGTCTATTATACCTTTGCTGTAGGCAGTGGAACTGAAAAGTACAGCCTTCCACAACTCTACTGGACACTTCTAGACTGCAGCTCAGGGCCAGATCCAATCAATGAGAATTTTCCTGCAGTGAGACCTAGGCTGCCCTTTGACCAAGTGATTTCAGACATGTTTTGGCATGTAAGATGTTACGAGACATTAAAGATACACAATCAAAATGAGAGTAAAATGAACTAGTAGTGTGCCAATAATCACCTGACCCAATTTTTGTCATTGTTCTTGAAGACCTTTTAAATGGTTACAAGGTCTTGTAGTGAAGGAGACGCTGAACAGAAGAAACAGCAGCTGGGCGCCTCCCCCTTTCCTCTGTAGATGACAGGGAATAGACAGTCTCTTAACTTTATCCAGCCACATTCAGCCAAGGTAAATAAGCTGATGTGTCAGAAGCAATAGTAAAGAGATTAGAGTATAGCAGGAGTGGCAAGAACTTAATTCCTTCCTAGAGCAAAGAGAAAACAGAAGGTGGACTGTGATTCTGGTGTCTTTCAGCATGTAGCAAGCTGAATTACAGGATGCTGACATGGTAAAGTTCAAGTCATCGATTGATCCACCTCTGTGCCTGATTCTCAGTGGTAGAATGATTTTCTTTTTAAGAAATTTAGCAGTGATCGAATTAATTCTGTTAAGAAAATTCTGACAATCTTCTATGATTAGTAAGCATGCTTTAATAAGCATTCTCTTCCTATTGGCGTTGAAAGCCAAAGTACTTGTAGTTACTCTGAAAGGTGGAAGTCCTGGCCTGGAAACTTTGATAGGAACTGACTAGTGTTAATCATCTCTCTCACTAGTATCCATGTGATTTAGTATAGGTGTATTTGTTACTGTGATACATTGAAAACTTTCAATGTTCAGTCACCCTCAGGCTTGTGCTGCTTTCTACCTGAGTGGTATGGTGTCTAGTCAAAGATCACTACAGTGACATAAACCATGTAGGAATATTAAGTAGTTTGGGACTTCATTTTAGGTACCAACTAGTTTCAGGACTTGCTTGAATGGAAAAAAGAATATTCAGCCTAACTAATGTAGAACAAGCATACTATAGATGACTTCCATTTTGATGAAAACAGTTAACTTGAATTCAGTTCTTGATCTTTAAATTGTTGTGAAACTTTCTTGTGCAAGCCATGTACCTCCTTTATGTTGTGAAACTTTAGCATTTAGCATGAGCCTCAGTACTTTGTTTTTTAGGATTTCCATTGATTAGCTGCTTTTGGTAATGTTGACAATGAAGTGCCACTGAAGAGGGTGGGCATAGGTAAAGCAGATGAGGTTGATCTAGAATTTTTTTGAATATGTTTCATCCAGACTGAAATGCAGTATTCCTTTTCATCTTTTTTCTATATGACATTTTGACTTAGAGAACTGAAATGGAAATAAGAATGGTAGCAACAATAAGCAAGTTGGGCCAGCTGGGTGTTGTGATATTGTATGCTATCACGATGCTGCCTTTCTTTCATCAATATTCATCCAGGGAGCTTATGAACATTCTCCACAATTCCTCTCAGAAATAACGAACTTAAATGCTGTTTTAAATAATGATTCACAAGATGGTTCTGTCTTTCATTATTGTTTGCCTTTAGAATAATTTTGTATCTTAAATATGCCTTAAAAGAACCTGGGTGTATCAAAACACTTTAAAGTACAAATTTGTGTTTCTGTGCACTGCTATGTGTGTAATGCAGCCTTGTTTTGTGAGCATTAACTCAGCCTCAGTGGGTCTTTAATCAGGGGGTCTCATGAATTGCAGGTGTCTTTGTACAAAGCTATGCAAGAGTTGTTTAAGTTTCTCATTCCAAATTCTGCTTTTAAGCTGTATTTGCATAACAGGTTAGCGCTGTATTTTAACATGCGTGTGAAAGCATTCAAAACAGTAAGTTTTCTTACTTAGCTGTATGCTTTATGTACAAGATACTACTGAAAATTTTCCATTCCCTGCTAATTATAGCTTTACTTGCACTGTTATTTAACAGTTATTCTACTTTTTTCTTTTTTAATTTATTTTGCTCTTGTAGAACCAGGATGGATCATGTATCCAATCAATCAGCCTTATTCTTAAGCAGGACCCCAAGAGGCAAGTGACACTGACTCATTCAGGAGATGTTTTGGTGTATGACCAATACAAAATTAACCTGCCTTATGCAGATGGTAAGGAGGAATATATAAGTATATAGCTCTTACCAAGCACTAAAGCAGTATTTTAATGGCACATGTGTATGTTGTGATACTGTCAATATTGCTGACTTACTGAAGTGGTATATTGTTAATATCAGCATTATTAACTTTTTATGAAATGTTTCACAAATTAACTGCTAATATACTTTTTACACTAACTATAGGAGTTGTACAGTAGCTGTATTGGGCTGGTGCCTCTTATGTTAAGATTGAGTACGTTCTGTCTCTAATAAGTCCAAATACCATCCCTCACATTCATAAGGTTGGTTAGTTCTTTTCTGAGGGAAAATTTTTTTCTCTGAATCTTGAACAGAATAATTACTTTTCCCTTTTTTATAAGGAACTTGAGTAAATGTAAGTGGAAGGAACCCTCTTGACCCTTAGAGATAAGCTACAGATTTTTGGACAAAAAATTTCTTTTGTCTCTTTTTCCTTTGAGTTTTTAAATCTCTCCCTCTGGAAGATACTATTAAGTATTCTACATAAAAATATATGACTGTGTTCTGTGAGATTCAGTGTTAGGTTTAATGAGAGCTTTATATGCAAATCATTAGTACATTTGATGTCTTTGGGGCTGTCCTGGATTTGGCCAGGACAGGGTTAATTTTTCATCAGAAGCCAGGAAGGAACACAGCCGGGCAGGCTGACCCAACCTGGCCCAACAGAGCAGGGTATTCCATACCATGTGCCACCATGCCGAGTTCTGGTTGTGGGGAGCTGGGCGGCGGGAAGGAGTCGCGGCTTGGAGCTCGAGGTGGCGGTGTGCATTCTGCGGTTTTGTTTTGTGTATTCTCCTTTTCTGTATCGTTGTTGTTACTGTTCCCTCCGCACCCCAGCGGGAGGAGGGGCGGCAGAGCAGCCGCGTGGCCCTTTTGTTGCCGGCCACAGCCAAACTATAACAGGGGCCTTGGCTCTTTGGGAATTTCCCAAAGAAGGCTTTAATACAGGAAGGATGTTGCTGGTGTTAGGATTAGGTTGTCTAAAGCAAATGGTCTGCAATGTTACCCGCAATGTTTGTATCTTTAAACTACTTTGCTTGTAGTCGACCTTTATGAATATTCCAGTGAACTCTGGATGTGTTTTTAAAAAGTGTAGTGACTGTCATAAGTTTCTTGTTTGCTTATTGGCCTGAATAAGGGTAACCTTTTATGAGAAATCAATGATTAGGGAAAAACAGGGCCTTAATACGAAAAAATGTAACTTACATAAAAATGATACAAAACAAAAAGAGTGAAATGACAAGAAATAAAATGCAAATTACAAGCAGGTTTCTTTTTACTTTCAACAATCTCTATTTTTTCTCACCAGAGTTATTTGAAATAAGGAAACTCTCCTCTGTATTTCTTCAAGTAAAGACACACATTGGATTACAGATACTGTACGACAGAGAAGGACTGAGGCTTTACCTTCAAGCTGATGGACGGTGGAAAGATGATACTGTGGGCCTTTGTGGAACTTTCAATGGAAATACGGAGGATGATTTTTTGTATGAATAGCTGCAAGTTTTCTGTTTGACAATATTTTAATATCTACAGTTAGTGGTAGATGGAGTGTGTACTGAAGTTGAATGGATAGATACCAAGAATAATTTATTTTGAAGTTGTGTTAGTGAGATAGTTGTAGGTTTTAGTTTGCTAACAGAAAATCTGTAACTTCAGCTATAGGATATCAAGCCAGGTTTTGCCTAAAATATTGGCTCATAAGTGCTAGTTTATCTGAAAAGTTTTGTCCAAAATATGGAGTAGCCTGTATAAGGGACTTTCCATCTCTCTGCTACTCTTTGTCACTTTCCAGCTCCTATTTTCTGCTGCAAATTCTAATCTGCTCTCTCTGACAGAGCCTCCATTGTTCAGCGTCTGCAGGCCAGCAACAGGAATTGGCTGTTGCTGGAGCTTCGCTGCGTTGTGATGCAGTGAAAGGTGGTCAGAGCTGTCTGAGCACCACAGTCAAGATTGCTGTTTGTCCAGCTTCTTTGTGGCATAGTTCCTGCACATACTAAAGAACAAATTTGCTTCCAGAGGACTGAGCAGCCTAATGGAAGTGAGAAAAGGAAAACAGGAATTTAGAGCATGACAGAATGTTTCTTTGACCAAGAAAAAAAAAAAGAGTAGGCGAACTTCTTTCTCTCAAAACAGTTAGAATTTTTTAAACCAAAACAAATAGAAAAAAGGGAAAATTTCCCATAATAGTTCCCATTTGAAAAAACACACAAAAAAATACACTAGTAGATTTTTGAACAATTTCTGTCTTAAAGGTTAAAAAGCATTATCAGGATATCGTTTATAATAAGACTAGGAAATACATAGACAGGAACTCAGTGAAGAGATACTATTTATTTAAAACTACTTAAAATATTTTTCTGCTTGAAGCAAGTAAGTCTTGTGTATTTTTTGACAGTCTTTGGACTTGTTCTCAAATAAGCTAGAAGTTGTTCTATAGTTGGTATTTGTGAAGAAGTATGAATTGTGCTGAGACGACACAAACCATAATACACAAGCATCTTGACATGTACAAAAACCACCTGATGCACACTAGATTTGGGAGACTTCCTATAGACAGTGGTGTGTCTTGCAACACCTCCACCCCAGCTACTTTACTGGAAGTAATACTACTGGTTGTATGCCTAATGCAATCTTTTCCCTAGAGTGTAATATCCCATATTTAAATGCACAGTTTTGATCATTCTCCCTATATTCATGTGCCTTGGTTATTTTGATCAAAGTCTTTCTGTCTTTCAGCTTCTGCTGCACTTCTGCTTAGCTGGGCCTCATGGATATCTATTCAATTGCTTTTGCAGTTACGTCTCTGGACCCTTGGATTTCTGTTCATTTCTCTTTCTTGCAGGGACTATACAGCCTGGGAAGTCAGCCACCCAGGAACAGACAGGAAATTATAGGTAGAGGAGAGAGAAAAGTGGATGAGATATCACTGAGGAGGCAGAAGTATGAATGAGAGTGCAGACTTTCAGGGCAGTGGTGCTCCCTCCTTCTCTCTTCTGAAAATGGAACTTGGTCTGTTTTGATCTGTCCATCCTTACAAAGCGTGTAATGGCTCTAGAGCAGATCTCCTCTTTCATATCTGGACCTTTGCCTGGAAAGAAAGAGAAAAGTCCTGAGGCTTAAGCTGACAGTGATTTATGGAAGAGTGCATGAGAATAGACAACAGTGGAAGGGGAGCTTGAATCGGCTCTGCTGAAGGGGGTGGTAGAACTGAGACCATTCTGTAAATTTACTGTATCTTTTGTGACTGACTTCTGTTTTGTGAAAGATCTCCAGTTGGAGTAACTGAAAGCACTCCAGAGCTGTTTGGAAACACATGGAAAACTTCATCAACATGCTTTCTTGTGCATGATAGTTCGCAAATGGATCCGTGTGATATTCATCTGCAGGCAGGTGGGAAGTGGAGGTCAATTGTTACTGACAAATGCATTTCTACTTATTACATCTGTACTGATTTTCCTAATTGGATCAGGTGAAGTAATAACTAATCCTACCCACTGAAAAAATGAATACTTATAGGTAGCATTTGTTAAGTTCAATCCCCTAACAAATCGTGTAGTGTATTGTTTAAGATACTTGCAGAGGCACTTGAAATACCCCCTTTTTGTTTCAGGTTTGCAGTTACAATGTGCTAAGTTAGACAGGCATTAAAGGGGGGTAGTATTGGTGATGCTGCTAGATAAGGTGGATACTCAAAAGTATTGCAGTATTCATTTTTGAAAAATGAAACATTTGATTTAGTTGTCTGCTATGGAGTAGGAGAAAGACACGCACTGCCAGCCTTTAGATTCAGCTGAAAGGGTTCACTTGGGGAAATATGCTAGTGACTGATGCCATGAGGACCACAGAGGGTCACTAAGACATCCTTTAATAATGAAGAACTTCGTAGATCGTCAGTTATACCCATTTCACGCTTCCTACCACTTCTTTTCTTGGACTCTGCATGCTTTTAGGCAAGATACAGAGGTAAAATATTAAGGTTTTGCCTGTGATTTCAGCAGTGCTAGGAAATCATCACATCTCCTGCTGCAGCATCATCCTGTATTCCGAATATTTATACAACATGCAGCACTAAGAAGCTGCATTTTTGGTAATGGGTTTGGACATGGATGTAGAAAAAAGTGGCCTGTAGAGGAAGTCAGAGATTCTGGAAAAGGAATTTTGAAGTCCTAGCATATGCATCTGTTACTTCCCACAAAATACAAAGTTACCTCTTTCTGTGTATGCTAATATAGCATATTATTTCTTTTGACCACTGTGCTGTGTTTGAAGCTTCTTATGTAAATATTTGATACAGCTCTTGTTCTCCTGCTCGATAGTGCTACCCCAGGCTGGCAGCTGTGGGTGTGGTTGCAGTTTTATGCAGCTGAAACAATGGGTAACAGATTATTCTTTAAAATACTGACCTATTAAAGTAGTTACTGGGAATGACTTAAACTGAAGAGGTGTGTAATCCGCTGTTTATGAAAGGCACTGGATAGTGTGTAGTATCTGTTGCCTAACCCACATCCATGAGTTGGTTTAAAGATAGGAGACTCTATGTAGGCACTGTCTGCATATTGTAAAGTTTTCTGAATACCTTAAAATCATTCCCAGAACAAGTTCAAAACTATGAGCAGCTAATTTCTTTTCTGTTCTATCATACAATTGTATAGATATCAAAGACAGTGATATATATATGGCGGTAGTATCTAGCCATGATCAGTTGCATTGTATAGAAGACGCTTTTTATTCCAAGTCTTTTTAAACTCCCTCACTGAAACAGTATTTAATCTGTTATTTGTGTAGCCTCTTATGCAGCGGAAGCCTGTAGCATCCTTATGAAAGAACTTTTTGCTCCGTGCTACCCCTATTTGAGTCCTGTTCCCTATTTTGAGCAGTGCAGAAAAGACACTTGCAAATGCGGACATACTTGTTTTTGTTCTGCTCTGGCCCATTATGCTCACCATTGCCGAAGATTTGGAGTCACAATAGATTTCAGAAGAGGTGTCCCAGACTGTGGTGAGTTGCACTTATGGTTTTAAATAATTATTTTTTGAGGACTTCAGAATGACAATCAGAAAATAAAATTAAATGAATATAATCTTTTAAGAGGATTAATTCTAGCATGATCTTTTGTGTAGAGGACAAGGTTCTTTTTTTTTTTTTTTGTCAAGACAGTATTAGTACCAGTGTTTTTTAGAGGATTTTTCCTTTATAGTTGGCTTTCTTTAGTTGTTTCGACTTAAACAATGCAAAGATTTTTTTTGTAAAATAGTTAGAGGACTTCAAATGTATACAGAATTAAAAATATGTCTGTATCTCTTTTGGCTTTGAATATCTCATACCCATGTTGATATTATTCATGAGCTGTGTAAGTAGATCTGGTCTTTTATCGTAGATGCTAGGTTTATCTAATCCTTTAAATGAATTAGATGAAAAATGATGGTGATGTATTTAGCAATTTTAGCTGGATTATTGTCAACTTCTGTCTGACAATCTCTGTTAGCTTATTCTCTTACTGTCAGTGACACTGAAATACACAGAGTACTGAAATGAGTCTAGAGAATTGGTATTGTTGCTATTTAATTTAAAATGAATAGATAGTGTGGAGATAACAAATCTCACCTTTGGCTGTCTGCCCTATAAAGCCTCACAAGTAGAGAAGTGGGATCATGTAATTAAATTCTTTAGTTTATGTGAACTTTATTTGGTGCAAAAGATGTTGATAGGACATGTATGCTTTTTAAAATTTTATTTTAAAAATTCCAATTTTATTGGAAACCCTATGCAACAACCCTAAACTGACACCTCTGATGTTTCAGTAGGTTTGGCTCCATAAACAAGGCTGAAAATCTTATCGAAGGAACATTTAAGAATTTAACATCTGGTAGTTTTCATCACATCATGTAATTATCCATGCTGTAATGCATGATGAAGAGAGTTTTGGAAAGCTGGTCCAGCTTAAGTATCTCATGCTGGAGTATCTGTATGTATATCTGAAATGACCGGCTTGCTTGCAGTCATTATAATGTGAATGGCTGTGTCCGCTATGACTGAATGAATCAGTCGAACAATTTAATTTTATTTTACTTTTCTAGAAGCAACTGTAGTTTTATTAGACTATATTTAAGAAGTCACAATTGTAGGGTTTAAAATATGTGAAACTTTTTAGTATTTCAAGAACTTCAGGGTTTTTTTTTTAAGTAGATCTTTATAGCAACACCTGCAAAGTACACACATTTTATTTATTGCTTTTAATGTTTTCTTGAAGATGTGCATTTCTCAAGGCCTATGCACAGGAGCCAAGCATTTTCAGAGTTAGAGGGGAAAAAAGCTTCAACTGTTCGGTTTCCCCAATGTAAATCTGGATTAACTGTGCAGGCTTCATTGTACTTGTTATTACTGCAGATTTACATCTGTGTAGTTTACACAGCATAGTGCCAAGTTAGCAATTTTACTGGAATTTAGTGTGATTGGGAATAAAAGAAAAGAGATGTTTATCAGAAAACTGTTGGGAGGTACTGGAGTCTCCTGCACTGTAATTTGAGAGATTTATTTCATTTGGACAGCTCTTTTCTGTGAAGATACAAAGGAGTACAGTACTTGCGTATCTACCTGTGGCAGAACCTGCCAAGCACTGTCTGTGCCAGAGACATGCAGCAGTGATTGTGTTGAAGGCTGTGCTTGTCCCTCTGGAATGTATTTGAATTCCAAGACTGAACAATGTGTGCAGCGGTAGGTAAAGCTGCAATTCTGATAGTCGCTCTCACTATTTTATACCAATGCATTTGCAAGTCAGATTGAAAAGCTAATAAATATGTGACCTTATAGATATTATCCGTCTGTAAACTTGGTGGGATCTTAGAATTATACACAACCTATATGGTGATCAAAAATATCTCTAATACCAACACTCATCCAACATCACTGAAGCTAGCTGTTAATATTGACTGTTTTTTCGCATGTAGCAGATATAAAATGTGTCCATTGTTGTGTAGAGGTTCTGCTTTGTTACTGATTTGGTTTGGAATGCGCTCAAGTTGTATGACAATACTGAGATCAATTTCTTGTATTGATCCCCACAAAAAACAACCCCACAAAACCCCCACTGAACCAACCAAAAAACCTCACCAAAAGCAACAAAGCAACCAATTGCACTTTGAACAGCAATTCAGGCAATGGGAATTTTTTTTCTGCCTTCTTGTTAATCACAGTTAGTAAAGATGTAAGTTAAGTAAGTTGTTAATCACAGTTACTTGTTTTTCCTCTACTCCAGAAATGAATGTCCGTGTTATTTTCAAGGAATTGACTATCCCCCTGGAGAAAACATTATGACATCTTTGGGCAGATGGTAAGGTACAAAACTGCGTTTTTTCACCTGGCTAAGCACTGTCTCTTTTTTAAGAGCTCTGTCAAATCATTCTGGCTAGCCTGTTGGGTTTTTGTTGTTGTTGTTTTGGTTTTGTTTTGGTTTCTTATTTTTAATGAAACATGCAGAATAAACATATGCCGGTTTTCTGTGCATATTTGGACAGTGCTGCCTTAGGGCAGATTCCCTGGAGAGTACCAGGCAACCCATTCTGCATATGGGGCTGTGCAAAGTCTGGGTGCACTGTTGCCTGCTTTCCCGGATATTTTTGTTCACAGCACATGTGCCAGGCAACACTGGCAATCATGGGAAGAGGCTTCTCCTGTTAGTTTCTTTGATTTGTTTCATTTCATCTTCCTCCTCAAGGGTCTAGTTTAGCTATTATGCTAAGTACTGTGGTGGATTTTTGTCTGAATGCACACTGATAATGTGATCACCCATAATGCATTTTTTTAGAAATTACTACAGGTGAAGATCATTTTTCTGTTGATTTCAGTGGAGTTATTTGGGATCTGGCAGCTTATGTTTCATCTGAATGTGTTAATTAAAATATACTTACTGGCTTACAACTACTAGTCTTTAAGGTAAAATAAGAGATCTGTATCTCCTATTGAGTTAATGGCTTCTGCTTGCAGCATTTTAACAAGTCTGTATATAGATCTGTTCAGAGGAAAGGCTTTCAACCATGGAGGTAAAGACTGTCAGCTCCTCTGAATTACCTTGTGCTAAGTAATATATTAGGAATCATGTAGGACTGCATGTATAGATGAATTGGGAAAAAATACATACAATGTATTGGGATTTTTATTTGTCACTCCTTTTATTAGAAACAATTATGATATTTGTTATGATAGAATGGTTTGGGTTGAAATGGACCGTAAAGATCATCTAGTTCCAACCCCCCTGCCATGGGCAGTGACCCCTTCCACTAGACCAGGTTGCTCAAAGCCCCATCCAACGTGGTCTTGAACACTTCCAGGGAGGGGGCAGCCACGGCCTCTCTGTACAACCTGTTCCAGTGCCTCACCACCCTCATAGTAAAAAAGTTCTTTCTTATGCCTTATCTGAATCTACCCTCATCTCATGTAAAGACACTACCCCTTGTCCTATCACTACATGTCCTTTTTACAAGTCCCCCTGTAGCTTTTATGTAGGTCCCCTTCAGGTACTGGAAGGCCACAGTAAGGTCTGCCTGGAGCCTTCTCTTCTCCAGGCTGAACAAGCCCAACTCTCTCAGCCTTTTCTCATAGGAGAGCTGTTCCAGCCCTCTGATCATCTTTGTAGCCCTCCCCTCGCCCCGCTCCAACAGGTCCATCTCTTTCCTGGGCTGGGGGCTCCAGCGCTGGATGCAGGACTCCAAGTGGGGTCTCACCAGAGTGGAGCAGAGAGGCAGAATCCCCTCCCTTGACCTGCTGGCCACACTTCTTTTGATGCAGCCCAGGATGTGGTTGGCTTTCTGGGCTGTGAGCGCACACTGCCGGGTCATGCTGAGCTTCTTGTCAGCCAACACCCCCAAGTCCTTCTTGGCAGGGCTGCTCTGAATCCATTCTCTGTCCAGCCTATATTTGTGCTTGGGATTGCCCTGACCCGTATGCAGGACCTTGCGCATGGCCTTGCTGAACCTTATGAGGTTCTCCCAGGCCCACCTCTCAAGCCTGTTAAGGTGCCTCTGGACGGCATGGCTTCCCTCAGGGGTGCTGACCGCACCACACAGCTTGGTGTTGTCGGCAAACTTGCTGAGGGTGTGCTCGATCCCACTGTCTGATGCTCTCTCTGTCTTTTTTCTTCTCAAGTGCTTCCTCTTTTGAACTTCCGTTTTCAAACTGGAATTTCTTCTCATGTTTGTTTACAGAGTAGCCTTTCTTCTCTGTTGTTTTCGACCAGTTCTGTAAAATATTTTCATTTTGTTATGTCAGCATTTGAGTTGCCTTCCTGTCAGTTCCCTTTGGTACTGCTTTGCCTGTTGGCTGAGTTATACTGTGAAGTCCTTGAGCTAGGGCACTTTTCGCTGCAGTGCCTTGGGGTACGTACACAACTCCAAACATGACAGCAGAGTGACTGTAGCACATACAGCATTTGTTTCTGGATCTGCTGACTAGAAGGTGTACTGGACCCCTCTTAACCATTGCAAAAGAATGGGAGAATAGTGCTGGATTTCATGGGCTCAGGTTCCCTAGTGAAGCACAGGACCTGAAACGAAGCCAGTGGTGCTATGTTTTTTTTCTCTGACAATGTGTTGCTATCAGATCTGCTACCGCTTTATAGAAGTACTAGACTATTTTGCCTGGAATTAGACAGGAGCAGGCAGTATCATATTGCTTGATAGTTCCCTGCATTACAATATCTTGTTAGGGTTGAGTTTTATGTAGTTTGCTTGTTTCTTTCCTGAACTGTGTTATGGAAAAGTGTTGTGTCAGTTCCTGTCTGTGTAACATTTTGCATGTTTGAATGGGTATACATACTACAAGCTTTATGATATGCTAACTTGAAATTTTTATTTTGAATCTTGATTAGCATAGAGTTGTTTGAATTGTTTTAGGTTCTGATTATGAACTGTAGTTCTAGTTGGTTCTGATAAGTCACAGTAGGTTGCTCTTCCAGAATCCTATCATATTGCTGAAGCAAAATTAGTTTGAGACAGCAAGAGCTTAAAAATCAGTAACTGCATCAGTGTTTTCACCTGTTAGCCAAGAACACTAAAATAATTGAAACATTTTGTTATAAATGAGATAGAAATTCATGATACTGTGAGGTGTTTTCAGATGGGTAGTTTATTCATGATCCATATTAGGAGTGGTTGAGAAAAGACAAAGTTACCAATCTACTGTTACTATGTTTTGCTTGGGGAAAAATCACTCCGGTTCAGGACAAAAACATGTTGCAGTCACTATAGCTTATGGTTGTATTATAATCAACATTGCTGTGTTACCTTCAACTGTGGGATAACTTAAAAACTGTTGGTATTGTCAAGATCTTCTCATAAACTAATAGCTTGCTTTTCAGCAGATTTGTAAGCTGGTGATGAGGAAAATGGAACATTTATAATCGTGTTAAGAATGTTCATATACGAGTACAAACCCAGAGCTTGCTGTAACATATAAGTATGTGTGTTTAGGGTTTTGTTTTGCTGCTATTGCTAGTTGCATTTTTGTTTTAGGTAATGATGATTCTGTTATGTACAGGGCTTGGTTTATTCTTACTGCACTGATGTCTTTGGGAGTAGTATAGCGGTGTATTGCTGTATGTACTTTTATGTTGCCCAGTCATTTTAACTCATGGTAACATTATACAGAAAGCAGAAGTTTCAAGTTTAATGTTTGTTCTGTGTTAAGGCACTTGATCCACAGTTGTAATGCTCAATGCAAACATTTATACAATTGTTTTGCATTGATTCATATGTCATGCTTCATTATTAAACAGCAAACATTAATATTTTAGATCTTCCTGGCTCTCATTACATCTTCATGTATTTTTATTGCAGCCATTGCAGGGATGGAGTAATGAATTGTGATAACAACAGAATAGGTGAGTGGAGAGAGAGAAGGGTAAAAGATACCTCAAGTCCAATGAATACGTATCCTCCAATCTCTGTGGAAACCCCCTTATCTGTAGTAGAAGATTGTGTGGTATGTACAAATGAACAACTAGCAGGAGCAAACCTGTAATTTAGGAATTATGTATTTGTGTGATTGAAAGAAAGGCTGGTGCAAAGCAGTAGCATAACTGTCTGAAATACTGTTAAAACTGAGCAACTTTTTTTACCAGTGCTTTAAAGTTCTATTTTTTTTTAGATTGCAAATGTAAGTAAGATTAACTGCATGACAAACAGCAGAACTTCAGTAAGACAAACAAAGGTTAGCTTTACCCCATAAAACATGGTTGTAGGAGCTAACACTGGCAGTAATTTTTCACAGATATGTTTTTTCTTTCCCTCCACAAACACTGAGTAACTGAAACATGAAAAAAGTATTTCTTTTGTCATACTTAAGCGTAAGAATGTAACAAGTACTTTTTCTATTACGGTATAATTTATATGTCATTAGGTATTATGGTCCATACTCTGTTATGATGCTCCCTTTGCTTCAGTGAGAAAGACTTGTATTTCAGTCTTTTTTCTTCAGTTCTACAACTGCCAGCTCTTTGGCCTTTTGCAGAAATCTGTTCCCCAAGCACTTGAGGGTGGTGGTTGTACTGATTTGACGATTATCCAGAACTTCTCTCCCTAATAAACAAATAAACAAATCCCATGAAACAACAAAAACCACTTTAGAACACTCCTACCACTGCGGGTGTTTGTTACATATACACAGTATGCTCAGTGCAACTCAAAAGCAGCTGTTCAATAGAGTCCTTTGTTCATAGTCAGTGGCTCCAGCATGGAAAGTCACGCCTAGCTCTCAGACCTTTTCTTGATATTTTTTGCTTTCTGTTGATTGCTGTTTCCCTGTTGGTAGTACTTTGCATTTCTGTGTTGGAGGGCTCATTCCTGACTAACCGTTTAGAAAGTCATGTCACTTACCCAATGAATATATGAATTGTAGTATTGTGTATGAGATTTATAGGGGTTCTGTGAAGTTAACTATGCTCAGGAGAGACAGGCAATTGGATGTTACTTATGTTACTGGAGTTACTGGATGTTACATTTTAGTGTTACATATTCTCAGTCTAAATCTATTGCATACATCTATCGAATACAAAATTTCAGGTGTGAAGACTAATGTGTTTGTCAATTTTCCCCCACCAGTGCACAGCTGCCCAATTGGACAGATTTATGTTAACTGCAGTAATCCACAAGTTGATCCTGAACTCAGCAGAGAGAGGACTTGTGAGAATCAGCTGCTAAACCTCACTTTTTCAGGACACCTTCCTTGTGTTTCAGGTTGTGTCTGCCCACCAGGGTGAGTAGAGGCAGATTTGCATGTTTTGGTGCACAAACATAGATGACTACCTTCAGTAGGATTGAGTAATTAATTCTGCTGAGGACATACCACACTTCTACTTGGAGAATTTGAGATGTCAGGGGGTGAGCATCCAACTTCTGAAGGCTTACCACACAACAATATGGGCCATTGAAGGCATAAGAAATGGTAAACCAAAAGATGAATGGAGCCAAAGGTCTAATAGCTGACAATAATAAAAACAAAATAACAGGAATATAGAAAGGGCGTTGAAATAATTTGATCCAATCCCCACACTACAGCAGAATCGTATTTGCCTAGATAATTTTTTTCAGATATCTGACCTCTTATTTGAACCTTTCACTGAGGGAGGCATGTTTCTTCATTCCTAGGCATTATTTTCAGTATTCTTTCCCTTAGAAGAATATTTTAAGTCTCAGGGATTTATGCTGAAAATGTGCAGGCGAGCTGTTGTAGCATTTTAGAATCAAGCACTGTATTGCTGAGAGGTTTTTAAATATAAAAATAGCAATTGTGTGTTTAATTTATGTTGATTTTGATGGTATTTAGTCTCTTAAGCACATAGCTTGATGTTTTTGAATATCGTCACTCTAAAATTACAGTTTATGCCTTGAGAGCCTTCTCAAAACAAAGAGTGAAAGCCAGATCCTCAAACTGGGTTGAACTAGTCTATGGACTCATGTTCATTTATATGTCGATTTTTCTCTGTCTTAAGATTGCTACTCAAACTCTGTTTTTCACTTTAACATTCTGAAGCGTGAAATGTCAAACTGTTCACATGAAATGGAACCTGTAGTTAGTCCAACTCACAATATGGTACCATGGTCAAAAAGTGCAGTGTTAAGGATAAGATTTTGAAATTAACTGGAAGCAGACATTTTCAGAATTGCAAAAACTCATCCTATTGGACCTCGCTGATACCCCTCAAAGCCAATGACTGCCTTCAGCAGCACTGTATGGCAGGCAACTCAGCAGAGAACGGAAGTTTATATGCTCTGTTTTACTCTGTATGACCTCTGAGATTGTGAACTTTTCTACTGCTTCCTGGTGTAAACTAGTTTTGGAATTTAAGCAATAAAAACGTTTTTTAGCATTGGAAGGCTCAGTGTCACGTATTGGTGATCCCAAAGCTCTGATAATAGGTTTGTATAGTTACAAGCGACAGAGTTTTATAATTTCCTAAAGGCAAAAATACAAAATTAGGAAGTTCTGTACTTACCGTAACTTCAGTAAACTTGATTTTGTTCTCCTGTGGGTGTACACTGTCTGTAGGGATATTGAACTCAGAGGGTTGTCATCAGCAGCGCTGAGTCTAGTTGGAGGCTGGTAACTAGTGGTGTCCCTCAGGGGTCAGTACTGGGCCCAGTCTTGTTTAACTTCTTCATCAACGATCTGGATGAAGAGTTCGAATGTACCCTCAGCAAGTTTGCTGATGACACCAAACTGGGAGGAGTGGTAGACACACCGGAAGGCTGTGCTGCCATTCAGCGTGACCTGGATAGGCTGGAGAGTTGGGCAGAGAGGAACCTGATGAGGTTCAACAAAGGCAAATGCAGGGTCCTACACCTGGGGAGGAACAATCCCATGCATCAGTACAGGCTTGGGGTGGACCTGCTGGAGAGCAGCTCTGCGGAGAGGGACCTGGGTGTCCTGGTGGACGACAGGTTAACCATGAGCCAGCAGTGTGCCCTGGCTACCAAGAAGGCCAATGGCATTCTGGGGTGCATTAGGAGGAGTGTGGCCAGCAGGTCGACCAGCGGAGGGCTACAAGGATGGTGAGGGGACTGGAGCATCTCCCCTACGAGGAGAGGCTGAGGGAGCTGGGCTTGATCAGCCTGAAGAAGAGAAGGCTGCGAGAGGACCTAATAAATGCTTACAAATATCTGAAGGGTGGGTGTCAGGAGGATGGGGCCAAGCTCTTTTCAGTGGTGCCCAGTGACAGGACAAGGGGCAATGGGCACAAACTGAGGCACAGGAAGTTCCGTCTGAACATGAGGAAGAACTTCTTCCCTCTGAGGGTGACGGAGCCCTGGAACAGGCTGCCCAGGGAGGTTGTGGAGTCTCCTTCTCTGGAGATATTCAAGACCCGCCTGGACAAGGTCCTGTGCAGCCTACTGTAGGTGACCCTGCTTTGGCAGGGGGGTTGGACTAGATGACCCACAGAGGTCCCTTCCAATCCCTACCATTCTGTGATTCTGTGACAGAAACCTTTTTGTTGTTTGTGGTTTTTTGGGGGTTTTTTTGGGGGGGGAAGGAGAGATAGATTTGTTTGTTTGTGGGACTTGATCCTCAGTGCTTAAGGCAGAGCTAGAAAACTGTCACAAGGCTAGCATTTGAACCAGGGTAATCCGTCTGTACTAATGAAGTAGAAATGACAAAGTATCTATTTGTGTCTGTGTATTTAATATACAGTGCTAGGTTCTGATTGACGGGGAAGAGCTTATGCTGTATTTGAAGGACACTTCCTTGGAAGGCAAGGGAACAAGTTTCTAGGTTCTGCCAATCCTTTCATGGGAAAGCAGCACCTTGCCTTCTGCAATGACAAACTGCGTGGTTTGGAATATAAGGTGTAATCCAAGAATCATGTGTATTTATTTTAAAATAAATTGAGAATCACTGTAAATGCAGTTCAGTTCTTTCCATTATAGTGTTACTTGCAAGCTAGTCAAATCTGGTATCTTTTAAATATTTAGGGCCCGTGGTCCTATACTGTATATATATTTACATTTTTATTTGAGGTTGCTGTAAGAAGAATTAAGATGGTCCTGAAGATATGTGGTTTTGGTGTGCTTTTGGAAACTCAAGAGACTTCTGCTATGTATTAACGATCAGGTTTTCTATTTAGACAATGGATCTCAATGTTTTAGTTGGTTTAGTAATAGCTGCTTTTAGATAGAAGCTGTTGGATCTGAATAGCCCTGATATTCTCAGTCAGTCACTGAATTAGCACTCCAATGATTTGTGCTGCAGACCACATGAGCCAGAGCAACACGGAAAGACAAAAACAAATTATTGGAAGAGAGATGAAACAAATATCATTACCTTCAAACAGTACCATATTCTATGTTCATGACAGTTCAAGTACTGCAGGGTTCAAGTGCACTGTGAATTTGTGCAACTTCAAAATCACCTTTCTAGGCAATCAGTTCTTACTGGTGAACTATAAAACTGAGGTGACATTGTCCAGTTTACAAGGGTAAAACAGCCATTGGGTTTCTTTGATCTTAACATTAGTTCTTTATATGAAATGATTAGTTTCATTCCCTTATTCGTGCTTTTGTTCCTGTTACAGATCTTGCATCAGTTTAGTTTGATTCATTATCTGTAAGCTAAACTGGTTTTTAAGCACTAAAAAAAAAAAAGTTGGTGTAGAAAAGTGGATATGTCACAGTTAAGAAACCTGTATAGGAAGCTACATTTTTTTCAGAAGGAAGGATCTTTCCAATCTGTTAGTGGGATAATTGTTCTTCAATGATACCATGAAAAATATTTAACACAGAAAGAGAGGACAAGAACCAGTTTTTGCTGAAAGTAGTGTTAAGATTTCAAGAAGGCAATATTTTTATTTTGCAGTCTATTTTTTTATTATCTAGAGAGTCTGAAATATTCTTTCCAATACTTCACTATTTCTAGTATTCCTTCTTTGTTGTGCTTAGAGTACATTCTAGTGGAACTTATGTGAAATGGAAATTAAATACAAAATAAGTAAATCATAGTGAAAAGTAGCAGTTGTCTGTGAGTGTGATTCATTTGACCTCCTTTTTCATCTGTAGTGAATAAATCAGATACAAGTAACTATGCTGTGAATATTTAAATTTGCAGGATATCATTCCAATTCTATGGGTTGCAGTTCTTACAGTATAAAAATTCTGATCGTATACTTTCCCCTCTGTTTTAGAAGTGGTTGAGGTCGAACACTAATTCTCCTGGAACACAGATTCTAATCTTGTTCCACCCTGCTTTGCTGGCATATTTAGTGAATTTTTAAGGTTTTATTTGTGGTTTTTCTTACTGTTTTTTATCTGTCACTGTTCAAATGGCAATTTCCTATATTTCTATGCTACATTCCAGAAAAATAAGTGATCTGTTTACAATGCAGTTTCTAATTTTTCAAGTTCAATATTCGAATTACATTTTCTGCTTCTGGTTTGCTATGAGTCAATTGATTTTTCCCTCTTTAAGTGTACCAAATGTGCATGATTTGACATGAAGACACAGTCTTTAATCAGACTGCAGAAGAAACAGAGAAAACACAGTAGTATCTTCCTATATTTCTGCATACTATGTGACATCTTTACCACAAATGGACATATATTGTTTTGTGCCTGTCCTATTCTGTAAGTTCTCCCATGGTCCCTAGTCAGACCAATAATGATCTCTGAAACAGCCAGCTTCTGTTCGTTGTTCCTTGTAGCCTGCTCGTATTGTTGCTGTAAAAAAAAAAGCCATTTGCTTTCCTGAAGAAGCTTCCTTGTGTTTTCTCATTTTCCACATTGATGTTATTTTTACCCTTGACTGCAGCATGAGTTGGATTTGGCGGTTCCATACTTTATATAGTGTACAATATAAAACACCCGTACTATATATACAATGTATATAGCTTTTCAAACTGACAGTTGAAGGTTAGCTGGACTTTTAGTGGCTACTTGGTACTGTGGTGTGTGAGTGTATGTCTTGGAATATATTAACCATATCACTGCAGCAGAGAGGCCACAATCATGTTGCATATGTAATTATTTTGCCTAGTACAGCAACAGTTTAGAGCAGCTTCCCCCCTACTCTTCTGTGATCTGGTAGTAGTGGTGATGGATTCATGGGATGCTTGGGGCTGCAGGAACAAACCAAACTCCATACTGCAGTGCCAAGGATTCCTGTGATTTGCAGATGTTCCCTGTGCATTGTCCTAGGAGGCACACAGAAATGAAAGAGAATTGAAAATTTTACACAGAATTCATTGTTAAAGGATTACCTCACAATGC